AAAATTTGCGCAATGATAACTATAGCAGTCTTTGTAACGGATAATTTGTGCCCATACGATATATTTTGACTAGATTTATGTTATGAGTTAATTTTCAGCAGTATAAGACTTTGTGATTACATTCTAACAAATGCTATATTACGTTTTTTGACAGACGTAGATCATGTACGAAATAATTAAGTAGTAGAAATCAAGAACGGATCAAGAATCAGGCTGGAGAGTCTACATCAAAGAATGTTTAAAGCTTTCTAAGATTATTTCGTTTAACCGGGCTGCATCTCAGGAAACACTTCTAGTATTATCAATTAGACTGGGATGGTATGTAGAAACAACAGATACTAATGTAAGGTCTAGGTAGTATGGCCAGAATTTTGACTGCTAGTAGTACTTTACACGACCACGATTATTTCACTGCGATTCAGTTGAAAACTCCCAACAGCACTATTGTAGAGTTTGTTCAAGCTTTCTTCAGCTGAAATTAGACTTGCATCATCATCAATTTAAGAGTTTATAGACATATTTTCTACGTGGAGTTGAGTTTTAATATTAGCTTATAAATTTTGTGAAGGTAATCTAAAATACGACGTTAATTTATTGAAAGAATACTATTAGACATGGCGTATTATCAACAGCAAGTGAACAACCCGCAAAATATGCAATTTTACCAATCCAATTACTCAAGCACCTACGGACAAGCAGCTGGAGCAGATAATATGATGTCAGGATCAACGCCATCAATGGGGGCTATGGATTCTGGGTTCGGAGCAAATATCGACGTTAGTGGAGTTATGGGAGCTGGTGAATTAACACCAGGATTAGTTGCAGCATTCGGAACCTCTGGCTACCCTAATGAGCCTCCCTTATTGGAGGAAGTCGGAATCAACTTCCAACATATCAAAATGAAGACATTGGCTGTGTTGAACCCAATGAATAGAAATATTACATCAGACATAATGGCAGATTCTGACTTGGCTGGCCCCATTCTTTTTGTATTATTATTTGGTACATTGTTGTTATTGGCAGGAAAGGTTCAGTTCGGATATATTTATGGGGTTGGATTATTTGGTATAATTAGTTTGCACTATTTATTCAAATTAATGAGTGATGATGTTACGATTGATTTGATTAGATCTGCTTCGGTTATTGGGTATTGTTTATTACCATTAGTGCTTGTAAGTGTTATAGGCGTGTTTGTTTCCTTGGATAATTTATTGGGGTATATATTTAGTGCTTTTGCCGTATTCTGGTGTACTTATTCGGCTTCTGGTTTCTTTGTTGCTGTTTTAAAATTGCACAATGTAAGACCATTAATTGCTTATCCATTAGCTATGTTCTACACCGTCTTTGCATTAATGGCCATTTTCGTTGAAAAGACTGATCTTTAATATTTTGAAAGTTTTTCTTTATAAGATCATTGTATATTAATATTTATAACTCAAAGAGTATTTACCATTTGACCGTTCACTGTAGTGTGTAAATAGTGATGAACCTATAAATTGAAAGGTTTGTCACTCGATCTCAAATTCTTCTCGGATCATTTTTGATCGGACTGAAAATTATTTATTTGATAACTTTAATGTATATTGTTGATTTTAAATATTTATCAGGAATGTCACCAAGGTTTGTAAAGCCATTGCGTATGCTTATGGCTAAGAGGTTGAATAGTACTACTGTTAAACCTTTTTATATCACCTCACCTATCTTTTATGTAAATGCTCGCCCACATTTGGGCCATTTATACTCCATGCTCCTATGTGATACAAGAAATCGTTGGGAAAAGTTAGACCCAAATAAGCTGTCGTATTTTCTTACAGGTACAGATGAACACGGGTTAAAGATACAAGCAGCGGCCGAGAAACTAGGCATACCTCCCAAAGAATTGACTGATCAGGTATCTACAAATTTCAAGAATTTAGGCCAAAGGGTTAATATTGAATATGACAGATTTATAAGAACCACTGACGAAGATCATGTAAAAACAGTACAATATTTCTGGAAAGTGATGCAAGAAAAAGGGTTTCTATACGAAGGTTCACATAGTGGTTGGTATGCTATCAGTGATGAAACCTTTTATCCTGAAACTCAAATTGAGGAAATAGTGGATTCTAATACTGGCAAAAAGAAAATGATTTCAAAAGAAACTAAGAACGAAGTAATATATCAAGAAGAGACTAATTATTTTTTTAAACTATCTCATTTCCAAGATAAACTAATTTCGTTTCTTGAGTCAAACCCAGATTTTATTAAACCGAAATCGAAGTATACTGAATTACTTAGAGAATTAAAAGAATATAAGTTAACCGACTTATCAGTGTCTAGACCTTCTTCTAGGCTTACATGGGGAATTGAGGTACCTGATGACTCCAGTCAGAAAATATATGTTTGGTTCGATGCTTTGCTCAATTACCTAACGGCCTGTGGATTTCCAGAAAAATTTCCAATCGTTAATGAGAAGTATCAAACTGAAATCGGAAATATGTGGCCTGCTACTCACATCATTGGCAAGGATATTATAAGGTTTCATTGTATTTATTGGCCAATATTCTTGATGGCTGCTGGAATTGAATTACCACGCCAAGTTGTGGTACATTCCCACTGGCTATGTGATGGTTTCAAAATGAGTAAAAGTTTGGGAAATGTTGTGGACCCACTCGACACTCTCGAATACTACGGGGAGGACGCATTAAGATTCTTTTTGACAGAATATTCTAATATTGATTCTGACTGTAACTATAGTGAACAGCATTTCTACTTGACCAGAGAGAATCTCATCGGCAAGTATGCTAATTTAATTACACGTTGCGGAGGTAATGCATTTAATATATTAGACAGTATCAATTCATTCAAAGAAGGAAAGTTTGACAATATAGATGCTTTGATAGCCGACCATTGTCTCAACAATGATAGGACAATCGAGTCTAAACAAATTATCGCTTTGAAGAACGAGTTGTCAGATACCCTCAACCATCTTTATGAATCAATGGATCTGAGCATGTCTTCCTTCGACCATATGAGAGCTATCCAGAAATGGTGGATACCTTTAGAGAAAGCTAACCAGCTCTTTCAACTAGGCCAACCATGGCTTTATACCAAGTCTATCAAATCTGATACCGTAAGCGACGGAGACAAGGAAATCTACAAAACCATTCAAAATTATTATGTTTTCATGGCCGCTGAAACCTCCAGGATCTGCTCAGTCTTAATTAATCCAATAATACCCAAACTTTCCTCAAAAATATTAGACAGGTTGGCGGTTTCGCCAACGAATAGAACTTTGCATTTCACATCCATAGGGTCAGATTTGACATATGGCGAAGATGCAAATTCAAAGAAACATAAAATCCCCATCCAGAGGATCCCAATAAGATCACTTGATTGAATTTGATGTGATACTACTTGTAAATACTACACTATTTAGAAAAAACCGTATAGACTATCACTGTATATTATCCCCATGGGCCTTAAATATATACGTCCTGCAGATAATCACGGCTTTTACGAATCGATATCTTCTCAGTACGTCTTCAGACTAAGACGTAACCATGGCCTATCTGGCCATAGTTAAGCATCACGTCAAGCATATTTTAGAAATGGCTGCAAATTATGCGGATAGATAGATCACATAGATAACATTTTTCAATTCGAGTAGTTAGTTTCATTTAAAAATCTTTTTTTTTTTTCAAACATCTTTCAAAGGATACTAGCCAAATCTTACGTGAAAATACTAATAGTTCGTGCCATATAATACCTTTATACATCGATCATCTGTGTAGAATGATGATTAATGTTTACAAGGTAAAAGGCCGTGATTAATGGAAAATTTTCTGGTTATGTAACCCGCGACGCGAACTAACAAATGAAACCACCGTATACAATTCTTACGATATTTAGTTCCAAACAATCAATTGAATATTATTATAGATAGTTAACAACACGTTATAATATCAACCACTGATTAGCTGTATAGCGGAAATATATTTGGTTGCACAATTTAACTAAGATTTTATAAAATTATTGGTTAGTTCAAAATTCTTCTGATTCTCAGTTTCCAAGATATTTGTTGTTAGCTTACGTTACAATCCTACTAAATTTACGGCTCAAATGGCTGGAAAGAGGAATAGACATAATAGAAATAGGCGTGGAAGTCTTGATGAATCGCACGATGAAAATTTAGATGAATATGATGAAAATAGCGATGGATTTGAATCCAAGAGACCGAGACGAGTAATTTCATACAATGAAGAAGATGGTGAGGATGAAGATGAGGAAGAAAAAAATTACAATAATCCCAACGACGAAAATACTGGCGCCGATGAAGAAGGTTTGAGCACATCTAGAAGGACTAGATACAAATTTACAAACGACGAGGAACAGAATGACGAGCCTATTGATGATGTTGAAGGTGCAAACGTATCATCGGCATCAGAAGAAGTTAAAGATGATAATGAAGAAGAATACGTTGAAGATGATGAAGATGAAGATGATGACAATATAACTCAGAGACGGAGAAGACCCAGAAGGGCACAGGTCTCTGATGAATCTGATTTCCAAGATTCAGCCAGTGAAGCCTCGGACGATTTTTTAGAAAAATTACAGGAAAAAAACTTCATAGCTTCAGAAGATGATGACGATGAAGATAACAATTATGGGTATACTAAACGCTCTAAGAGAAGCAGGAGACTTCGCTCAAGATCAAAATCTGTTGAACCTAGAAGGCGCGGTCGTTCAGCTAAAGTGATCCTGGATGAAGATAATGAAGCAAATGAGTCTGCCGAGGAAGAGGATAGCATTCAAAAAGAGATTGATGAATTGTATGATTCTTCTCCAAACAATACCCCAATGAAGCATAAATTACGAGAAAGGGACAATAAAGTGGATTATACTATCCCACCTCCAATGACGAACGAAGCTCACGCAGACCCATATAGTGCGGGCCCTATAATTCCACCATTCTCCAGAGGAAGGGGTCGCAAGCCAACAAACATTAAAAATGAATATAGGAAAATTCTCTTTCCTACGGCTGGTCCTTTCGGCGGAAGCGATGTAATTTCATTATTTGGAACCAATATCCCTCCCGGCGGTATTCCAATTCCTGGCATGACAAATGACAATAATTTAACAGCCATTGGCCAGAATGTGAGTGATTCGGATTCCTCTGAAGATGAAATAGCCCCCATAAACGGAGAAGCTACAGTATCGAAGAAAATTAGCAAACCTGTAAATAATGCGAATAATGGTACACATTTGATTACTGGTGGCTCTTCGGACTCAAAGGATAGAAAGAAAAATAATTTGAGCGATACTGATCCTTTGGGAGTGGATATGAATATTGATTTTTCTGTAGTAGGTGGTTTAGATAACTACATCAACCAGTTAAAAGAAATGGTCGCACTACCACTACTTTATCCGGAATTGTACCAAAATTTCGGTATAACTCCTCCAAGAGGTGTGCTTTTTCATGGGCCTCCAGGAACTGGTAAAACATTAATGGCCAGGGCTTTGGCAGCCAGTTGTTCTACATCTCAACAAAAGATTACATTCTTTATGAGAAAAGGTGCAGATTGTTTGAGTAAATGGGTAGGAGAAGCGGAGAGGCAATTAAGGTTATTGTTTGAAGAAGCTAAGAATCAACAACCGGCAATTATATTCTTCGATGAGATTGATGGTTTAGCACCTGTACGATCCTCTAAACAAGAACAAATTCATGCAAGTATTGTGTCTACTTTATTAGCCTTAATGGATGGTATGGATAACAGAGGTCAAGTTATTGTCATTGGTGCTACGAATAGACCAGATTCGGTTGACCCTGCTTTGAGAAGACCAGGGAGGTTTGACAGAGAATTTTATTTTCCATTACCTGATATTAATGCAAGAAAAGAAATTTTGCAAATTCATACAAGAAAATGGACCCCCCCTTTATCTGAAGAGTTCACTAATAAGGTTGCTGAATTAACGAAGGGATATGGAGGTGCGGACTTAAGAGCCCTTTGCACAGAAGCAGCTCTTAACAGTATTCAAAGAAAGTACCCTCAAATTTATAAGACAAATGATAAGTTGCAAGTAGATCCATCGAAGATTAAAGTTGTCGCAAAAGATTTTATGCGAGCTATCGAAAAGATTGTACCTTCAAGTGCAAGGTCAACATCTTCAGGTTCTGCTCCATTACCTAATCACTTAAAACCACTTCTCGAAGTGCCGCTCGCCGAAATTACCGATAAACTAAACGATTTACTTCCTAATTCAATTTCGGTAGGAAATAAGAAGAAGCTTACTACCCTAGATGAAGCTTTGTATCTCGATCCAACTGCTAAAGATAGCGATGGGGGATTTTCAAAACAAGAATTGTTGAAGAGTTTAGAGAATTCACGTATTTGCAAGCCACATTTATTAATTTGTGGCAATCAGGGAAGTGGGCAACAGTACATCAGTGCTGCTATATTAAACTACTTGGAAGGATTTCAGGTACAATCCCTTGATATGGGTAATATGTTTGGAGATCCAACTCGAACTCCAGAGCTGAGCATTGTCCAAGCATTTATTGAAGCGAGAAGACACCAACCATCCATAGTATTTATTCCAAATATTGATATTTGGTTCAAGGTTGTTCCTTATACTGCTCAAGCAACATTAAATGGATTATTGAGATCCCTTAAGAGCAATGAAAAGGTTTTATTATTGGCAGTTTCCGAGACAAGTATGGATAACTTGGACCCAGAAATTAAGTCGATCTTTGGATTCAATAATTCAGCAAATAACGTAGCATTGAATAACCCATCACGAAAAGAAAGATTGAAATATTTCAAGACATTGAAAAATACCCTATTGATGAAGCCATACGAATTTGTCAATGATTTAGAGAACAGACCAAGGCGAAAGTTGAAGACATTAAAGGTTGTACCTTCAATTAAGAATGAAAATGCGGAAGTTCTTACCAAGAAGAAATTAAAGCAAATTGAATATGATGATACTAAGTTAAAAAATATATTAAAAATTAAGTTAGCAGGGTTGATGGATTTATTCAAGAATCGTTATAAGCGATTCAGAAAACCAGTGGTGGATGAAGCTTTCTTGTACCACTTATTCGAGCCTAGTATCTTGCAAAATCCGTTGAACAACTACGAAGTTTTGTACGTAAAATCTGACGATCCGGATAAGGAAAATATGATCAAAGAAATTTCTACTGGGAAATATTACTACAATATGGATTTGGATATTATAGAAGAAAGACTTTGGAATGGCTACTACTCAGAGCCTAAGCAATTTTTAAAAGATATCAAGATGATTGTCAAAGATTCGATTACTTCTGGAGACAGAGAAAGAATATTGAAAGCAAATGAGATGTTAACTAATGCTCAATTTGGTATTGATGATTTTTGCAATCCTGATTTTGTTAAAGCTTGTAAAGAGATGAGAAATAGAGAAGTAGAGAAACAATCAAAAATTCTTAAGGAACACCAAAAGCTAGAGGCAGAGTTTAGAAAGAAGCAGCTTCAAAATATACAGAATTTGACTAGCTTGAATGGCGGAAGCAATGAAACTGGCGCTTCTGAAGCCGTGCCTATCAATGTGGATGTGGCTGAAAGCAAGCAGACACAGGATGGAAGTATTGACATAGAAATGAAATTGAGTGAACATCTTGAAACTTCAGAAAAAGCAGATGTCAATTGTCAAGATCCAACCGTAGTAGAGAACGGAAAAATACTCCAAGATCCAGAGAATCAAGCAAATGAACAACCAGATGCCGAATCTGAGTCTGAGCCCGAAGAAGAGTTACTCATAGACCCATCAAGGGAGCTTATTATTCCTGAAGAAGCCGACACCTTTTTCAACAGAATATTGCCCGAATTAACCGATAGTTATAATATTGAGAACTTGGAAGTTGCTATGGCCAGATTTATGGATATTATTTGGGCTGACAGAAGTACATGGGATAAAGGCAACACCGTAAGCAAATTGACTGAAAGTGCGAACAGTCTTAGTCAATTAATGTCTAATGGACTTTAGATTAAATAGTGAACTTTATATATTTTAACTATTTAAATACATATAACCAAAAGAAATAAAATATATTAACATATAGTACAAGTGAGCAATTCATGGATCTTTCCAAAGTTTAGGTTAGCTTAATCTTCAGCACTTCCATCTCTAGGTCTATAACTAATATTTTGATCAGCCAAATCACCAATAATATGAGGTGGTAATTTACCATTTATTTTAACAGCATATAATCCAGCTACGAATGAATCAATTCTAAGCCATCTCGCTACCCATGACTTTTTGTTATCATCTCCTAATGCCACTAAACCTTCGAAGGAGGGTGATGTGCAATCTTGAACCTGATTATCTTCATTATCTTGGAAATGTAACACACTCTCACAGTTTGGACATCCAAAATCAACAAACTTTCTAAATGGCTGAATTATCCCACATAACATACATGCTCTTTCACTTCTTGCTGACATCTTGATCTATATGACTTTTGTTTGATCAAATTTATCACTTCTCTACTTTAACTTCATGTTGAAAATTGATTATGAACCATTTTGATCACATGATGGATTTTTTTTCAACTAATATCTCTTTAGAACTGGTACAGATTATAGTATTTAATCACTGACAACTGAAAAGCTTGAGGATGTTTATAAAAGCCAGAATACCCTTAGGGTTAAGGGTTTCAAAAAATATATATCAAAGGAATCAAGTTAGACATTTTTCCGTTGATCCTCATGCTATTATTTCTACGTTGACAGATTCATTACAGAGTGTACATGCCTATTCTGGCATCCCATGGTGGGCTTTGATACCTATTACTACATTTGCTCTAAGGTCGGTTTGGACTTTGCCATTAGCTATTATTCAGAGAAAGCGTATCCAGAAACAGACTGAGTTGAGACCAATAGTAAGTGCCATGAATCCGGTGTTGAAATTGAATCTTGCAAAGAAGGTGCAGTCAGCTAAGCGAAAAGCAGAAAAATCATTCGAGAGTATCCAAGGATCAAGTAAAGGAGATCAGAGTATAGAGAATGTAGTAAATTTACAATCTCCTGTAGCAACAATGAAATATGAAGAAATACTTTTGCTTGCAACTAAAGAGACTAGAAAAAGACAAAAAGCGTTATTCAAGAAGCACAATGTCCAATTATATAAAAACATAATTTTGCCAGCATTCCAAATTCCGTTGTGGGTCTGTATGTCGTGGACGATGAGAGATTTAAGTGGTTGGTCATCATGGGACAGTTTGACAAATAAGCCATTGGATCTGAGCTTATATACCGAAGGGTTGTTCTGGTTTACAGACTTAACTAGTCTTGATCCAATGCATATATTTCCTTTAGTTCTTGGTGTGGTATCGTTATGTAATGTTGAATGGACCTTTAAAACATTGGAATTGCTGAGGTTCACTCGAAAGCGTTTAGGAAGACCTACATTAACAGACTCGATGTCCAATGTAGCAAGAATGTCTGTTGTATTCATGATGGCTATTTCTTTGAATGCTCCTGTTGCATTGACTTTATATTGGTTAAGTTCGCAGGTTTATTCTTTAATTCAAAATATAATCATGGATTTGATGATTCCAATCAGTTTCACACCAAATAAGAGAATTAGTTACAAGACTCTGTCACAAAGTAATAAGCCTATATCAGTTGTAAATAACAGCTAAAATAGGAACATGTATATAGAGAGAATATTAATAGAAATTAATATAGCATAAGTGCGCAACTAGTAGAATTTATTTACTATATTCAAATAATTCATCATCTTTATCATGTCAGGGAATGTAGAACACGTTTTAAAAGCCAATGAACTACTTTATAATAACATAACAGAGTCTTTGTCTGATCAATCTGTTAAAAAATACAACAATGATAAGCTCACTTTGAAAGAACTCGACAAATGGAGAACAGATGAACTTCCAGCCATACTAAATAACCGGTTCAAGGAAAAGAGCAATTGCTGGTTAACCAAAGACGAATTGGTATTGTTAATGGATTGGAAGCTTGCTAAGGGTGTATTCAGACCGATTTTGCCTAAGTTAATCAAGTCAAACACGCCAGATCAAGTAAGAGAAGTAACCAAAGCAGGATTTACCATGTTTCTTGATTATATTAAAGAAATCAAGGATGTCGAGAATTTTTGGAAGAACGATTCAGAAGAGAAACGAAAACAATATAAAACAAATATAAGGTCAGTATTCAAGAAAATATGTGAATTGAAGGGTGTTGGACCCGCAACAGCAAGTTTGATCTTATCTTTATTATGCAAAATTGACAAGTACTTAGTTCCACCATTCTTCAGTGACGAGAGCTTTATGTATTATGTAATTGATCCATTTAGACCGGAAACAAAAATTAAATACAGTGTGAAAGAATATGTAGATGAATTATTGGAAGCATATTTTGACATTCTATTCAGATACAAAGATGACGATTTTCTCAATATGGATATTCTTGAAAAGGGTGGATGGAGTTTGAAAATGTATGATATACACAAAATTGATACCTTGGCAGATCTAAAAGTTCCTTTTGAAGTCGACGATACGGATCTTGTTAAATTTAGTTATAAGAACGACGAAAAGAAGAAAAGTAAAGATACCGGGGAAGATACGGAGCAGCCACGCCTTAAGAAACAGAAGAAACAAAAATAATGACATTATCTGTATGTATATACATCTATATAAATGAATAGACCTGCTTTCAAGTTATATATCCATATGATCTCTTTCAAGATTTACTAGCATAAATTTTTCATCGTTATATTTCAAGCTCAAGTTGTTAATCCTATCATCCACATGATTAAATATCTGCTCCAAGTTTGAGCTTTTATTCAATCCTAAATGATCTAAAATTTTATTGTTGATTTCATTTGACAAATGAGATAAGCCTTTTGAATAGTTACAAAGCAAATTATCAACCTTTGGTAGATTTCTCAAAGATTCTTGGCTGTTAACAATAAATGCAGACGATATTTCCTGTATTGATCTTAGCTTCTCTCCATAGCTTTGATATTCCTCTTGTAATGATTTTCCATATTCATATGCCTTATGGAATAATTCCAGTTCACTTTCACTATTGTTAAACTCGAATTCAAATTCATAATTATTTAAATTCAATTTCACCTCAAGGTATTTCTTTAATAGATAAACAAATTGGAATTTTTTGACTTCAAATATTATGTCTTTTCCTTTGTCATGAGCAAATAAATCTGCATAGTTCATAGCTATAAATTTAAGTGCAAGATCAAATTGGTTCTTTAGAATGTAGTTCTTGATGATTTGTCTGTTCAAAGCGTGTGACTTTTTTAATACTATCGAATCAGCTTCTTCATCTAAATTTTCCTTTGAACTGATTTCTGTAGATAAATTATTTAAATCCGAACTGAATGAATTAAATGTTTCTAAATATCCTTCATGGTTGAGATATCCTTTGATTAATTTATTAACAAATTTAGAGTCATCATCAATATTCAATAATGCCTTTTCTATATAGTCAATTTCAATATTTGATGATTTAATATTTTGAATCTTATCAAGTAAGGATAAATACATAAACTTTTGATTTTCATTGCGAAATTCTGTAACATAGTTTTCAATATTAAATTTAAACTCTTTGAACCCAAGGTTAGTCTTTATTTTTAAAGTAGTTGGATCAAATTTAGAATTTTTATTCTTCAAATCTTGGATTTTAAAACCAATAATAGGGCAGATTGCACTACGGTCATCTTGATTATAATCAGAAAACAAATTTACATAATCATTTAATACTTGTTTGGATGCCAAATCTTCATTTGAGATTGTCTTAACTAGAACTCCATTTAATGTAAAAAACACAGATTTGTTAATAAAGTTAATTCCACAGCCGATAACATCGGTTTTATACGATTTTTTAGCAGGTGTTTCGCTATACGTATAAGTATTGAACGGGATACCCATATCAATTTTACTATTATCTTCATCTGTACTCTGTCTATTCAATGACGACAATCTTCTATTCATGCTTAAGGCTGCATGTCTACTTGTAGCCTCTGATATCTTAATTGAATTATAAAACGACAGATCTTCAAAGTTCACAGCAAAACTTCCTCTGAATTCTCCAGGCTGACAACAAATCATTCCACGGACTTCCTCATTTAACAGTGAATTGAGAAGAGAATTTTCGTCGTTAATTAGAATGTCATCCTTCACATTATCTAAATCAAGGTAATCTTTAGTTGCAGACCCATTTGATTCTGAGGTAGATTCATAGTCAACGTATTGTCGGGTGAAACCCATACAAATATTCATGACAATGTTAGGTGAAATCGACGAGTCATTAGTTTGTAGAATAGGCAAAAAGTTTGTGGATTCCGTACACTCTTGATTCACTTCCATTTCATAATAAAATACACCAATTGCAGGGGAAACTGGTTTGTCACAGATAAAATTGTAGTACTTTTTTTTAGGAATTAATTCATTTACACTATCAATTGCTAACAGATCGTCTGTAGGAAGAGTCGATAACGAAATAGTTGAGTATCCGTCATCACTGCTTATTTTCAAGTTTAAATCATCTTGTAAATAACGCAAATAATTATTAGGAACTAGCGGAGACCAAGCTAAGGGCAAGGGACATTTGAAGAATTCTCCGTCACTAAATTTAAGAAAACTAGGTGGAACTCTGTATTGATGGTAAGTGTCAAATTTTGAAGTCAATAATAAGTTCCTCAATGTGTTATTAGGAAAATTGGTATAATCCTTATTCAATCGTTTGTTCGAAGAAAACAAAAAATTCGTTTCCCCCACAGTTGAAGAATCAAAAACAGATTTCCTTGATTTTGAAGTAGATTCATACCCTGAATCATCATTTCTATTGTCAATCGTATCATCATGCAATAATCTATGCTTAAACATTTCAAATAATTCAAAAAGATATGCATCATCAATTGGGTTCTCCATGGGATTCGATCCTAACACACCAATAATGGACAACTTATACACCAATTTTTCTTTAATTAACTGGTTTACAATTGGATCCGATGAGTATTGGTGTTTAGGAATTTTCTTATCATTGTATTTATTAGTGTAATTGAATGATTTTGTAGACATTACATTGGAAAGACTCAATTGTGGATCCTTGGAGGCAATTATTTTCTGTAGTTTAGAACCCAAGCATGTGTTAAGTAAGTAGGGTGGTATTATATATGCTAAATCAGATGAATCCATCGTATATTACTATTATTAGTGGGACCTGGACCTTTCAATATCTGTGTAAGGAGAAATGATAAAAGAATATGCAATTCTCAATTCGAGATTTAAATTACCAAAATTTTCGGCTACAATTTTCAAGGGAAACATACGGACTAGTAGTGGGGTTAAAGTACTATGACGGATCATATAGTAAAGAAAGCACAAGAGTGCTTACCGAATATTCCATTAACGGTTATATCCCAAGGTGCAGAGGCATTAGTTTTCTATACTGATGTCCATCCATATTCTAGTGAACCATACTTAGAAAACCGTGAAAAATACGTTATCAAATATAGACCATCCAAGCCATATAGACATCCTAAAGTGGACAGTAGTATAACCAAGTCCCGTACGGTGGGAGAGGTAAAGTTTATGTACAAGTTAAACAAGTTGGGTATAAACTCCCCAAGAATAATTCTGGCAGATTACAACAACGGCATAATTTGGATGGAATATATAGGAGACAGTTTGCCCAATGGAGATGTACGCTCTTTTAAGAATTGGTTATGGTATCTCGAGAAGAACAACCAAAATTGTACAAGTGAGTCTGTAGAGAAGATGTGTTTCAAAGTGGGTCAACTAATTGGAAAACTACACTTGCACGAAATGATCCATGGGGATTTGACGTCCTCTAATATCTTATTGAATGATGATGACCCGGTATTAATCGATTTTGGATTGTCCTCATATTCAGGCTTAGCGGAAGATAAATCTGTTGACCTATACGTTTTGGAGAGGGCTATAAACAGTACCCATTCTGTATATGCTAAGGAGTATAATCAGTGGTTGTTACAAGGTTACGAAGATATTCATAAGCATAAAGAATTCGGCAAACAGGGCCAAAAGAAATTAGTAGAAGTGTTGAAGAAATTAGATGACGTGAGATTAAGAGGAAGAAAGAGAAGCATGTTAGGTTAGTACTTGATATATCATAGACTTATTATAAAACTGAGGCTACATTTAGGAGTGTAATATAATATTTTAATATATTTACTTAATTTACTTTTCTTTTTGATACCACCATCTATTAATAATTACTCTATCTGCTCTAATTAACCCATATGAGAATATTAGTCTTAAAAGGCTGGTATTCGTATCAATTATCAGGAGGTCGTTGTAGGTAATAGTAACTTGGAGTATCCTGTATATATACATATAGGAATTTACTGAAAAATGAAGAGCTCTCTCTTCAATCTAAATCCTTACTTATAGGAACTACAATGTTAAGAACGATCAGTAGAGCAGCTTATGGCAAGCGCCTAAATCAAATACCCGTGGCTAATCACAGCTTTCAATTGTGCAGATTTTATTCTAAGGATGCCAATAACGATCATATATTTATACATTCCATCGCCAACAGCAAATTTAAGTTCTCGTTGTCACCAAAAGAAAATGCATTGCCCATAGGCTACAGTAAAGAAGAAAAAGTCAATACTGCTAATTTCGAAGATAATAATGAGTTTTTGTCAGTCCTCCATTCAAAAATTGCCCTGGATGTCCACAACGATTTTGCTTTCATCGTTGAAGCAGGAACTTTTGCCAATTCCTATATGCCGATATATGATTTTAGGGAAATTCCAAGCTATAGCCGTGTTCCTGAAGTTGATAATATATTTGGATACGTCCATGTGAATGAAGAGGGCAAGATTATTCCTGGTTCGTATGAACCAAACAGTATGTATAGGTTGTGCAACGGTGCTGGTTTACCTCGTTTAAGCGACCATCTCTATGAGTTGGTGAGACAAAAATGCGAGTCGGCCAAGTAAGTGTTTTAGCGATTTGGATGTATATACTGCAACACTGGAAGGTCCCCAATTGGACATGAATTACGGATTCTATGTATAGAAATGTAAATATAAATGTAACAGAATATGTATCTGTAGTCGCAGGGTTTCAAGCTTATATCCTTCGTTAATATCCCATTTATACCTTATTTTCCCGTAGTTACACTATTTATCTAACGCTAAAATCCCCTTTTTTCCTTCTGTAATCAATACAAGTGTAAACCGTTTTCCATTTCTTCTATTTATAGATCTCATTGCCTTTTATTGTTGCAACTCCTTCTATTGTTCTATTTTTCGTTTTTGTTTCATATAATAAGGGTCACATCTCTTCTTGTGTTGTATAATACAAAATGGCTGCAAAACATGATTATACCTATGACTATCCCCTTGACTTCTGCTTGTTCGTTGCCTAGCGAGCGAGCGCCACGCTAACAATCTAGAAGAATCCCCCCCCCCCCTTTGCGCACTCTCACGTCCAAAGCGCCTCATTCAAGACTGAATGACTCCGTAATTCCCTGCAGCTATTATTCCCTAGTGACGCGCTTACCGCTTATCTCCTACGCTGGAACCTATTACTGATTTACCCGATCTACATAGTTGACAAAATCTCGAAGTCCCCGCCATTGATTTCGTCATTGTAATCTCTTATCGGATCATGTAATCTCTTAACGGATCATGCAATCCGTCTAATTCCTTTTAACATAATAACACCACCATTCCAGCAATTCTTCCCAGTAGTCTCGTCAACCTCCCTATAATCTCCTTTCGGTCATTGCTGTAGTAATTTCTGACCGTTTCTTTGGGCAACTATTGATAACTTATCTTGCATAGTAACTCTGGGAATTCTTTGGGAGTGTATTTTTCATCATTACACTCAATTAGCATTATCTTGTGATATGTTCGCTATGAGTCGCACAACGGTCGTATCTGATGGCTTTGTTTGTTGAAATGCTCATATGCAAAGCTATTAAATGCAATCACGTAAGATTAGAAAGCATTTTAACCTACAAACTCCGACTAATTGCCAATTTTAATCTGTGAAATTCAGACATCAACAAGACCTAGCACTATACATGTTCTCTTTAAGACTCATGCTAGTCTATCACAGTTACGATTATGTAAGAGCTAATAATTTTTTACAACATCACCAATAACGTTGCGAATATAAATAGCGAGATTATTTCCCCAAATCCTGGGTTTCGCATCTTCTTTTATATATAATAATCCTTGTTATAGGTTACAATTAGTTAATAAACACAGAGCAGAAACATGTTATACTTAATACTCAGTGGAGCCATTCGTGGACTCCAATTCATTTGGACAATTATTAATTTAGGACTCGCTGCCGGCCTTATTGCAGATTTGGACTATGGTTATAGTCGGGTGGTTTACTCCCTAGTAATCTCAGTTTTTACAATTATTTATTTGGTTGTGGTGATGTTGCCTATATGTTTACGTTTTTTGTCGCCCCTTGTGATCTTAGTAAGTGAATTCATATTCATGATCTTTTGGTTGGCATCTTTTGCAGCAATGGCCAACGCGTTTGGTGATGTGGATTGCTCATATTTCAACCGATACTACAATACCAATCGGTGGTGTCTGTTGGGTAAGGCGATGATTGCATTTGGTTTGTTCAATTGGGTGACGTTTTGCTTATCGTTGATCTTGCTTATAATTTTTACTGTTATTCGCTGTGCATCTCGCGGTGGTATGAACAGTTTGTTGGCCGGTAATAACTTCAAAATGGGAGCCATTTTCCCAGAGACAGTCCCCTCTAAGGCCACCCAGGACGTGGAAAATACCGCAGGTGCTACTGGTGCTACTGGCAACGAAATGGCTCCTGAAGCATCGGGTGAATCCAAAGTGGTTGACAAGGTAGAATCTCCAACAACCCCAACTGATGAAGTGACACCATGAGCTTGATCACGCTCTCATGCGTTGCTGATAAATTGTCTGCATCATTCTTATCGCTGCACAGCGTGCTTATCGAGCTTCTCTTGCTAATTATATTTCTTATTGTATTGCTTATTGTATAAGTGCGCGCGAAATAAAGAAATAAACCTAATATAATAATAGCTTAGCTTGTAGTTATCAGGGGAACAGTTGCAGCCGAACTTTTACGACTTAGACCGGCCGTAAACAATCAGTCTACGAATTGAATGTTGATTTATAAATGTAATAAGCTACGTAAATGTAGGCTACATGAATATATTTTTTAGACAAATGCAGGTTTTTAATTGATTGCTATCGACAGTCTGCAAAGTGATCACTTACCTCCATACTGTATAGGGAATGAATCACATTGACCATCACTAATTTTAACTGGGGTCTGGGCTGTTTTTCCGTCCCCGTGTTTATGTTCAGTGTCAAAGCACCATTCAAAGTTTCCTCCGTAACCAATTTTACGAGTATCTTTGTTGAACTGGAATTGGTTCTTTGACGGATCAATTTGCTTGTTACAAGTAAATTGACCCTGTGCGTTCATTCCACAATAACCCTTCGATGATCTGATCTTGTAACCACCAAATTCTTGCTGTGAAATTGCATATGTTGCACAGGTTCCTGCCTCGTACCATAAACCATTGCTGATAAGACATCCATTCTTGCCAGGAGACTCAAGGTAACCCTTGCGAGGAGACTTCGGTGGTTGTGGTCCAGGTTTGAAGCCATTCTTAGGAATAAACTGAATATTCTCCTCTGGACAATTCGAATTAACAATTGTATCGATGGGAATGAAACTCTCCTCCTTCAATGGACCTTGTAAATAGTGGTAATACCAAACCTCTTGTAACGCATTGTACTTATTGCACTTGAAAAAAACAGTCTTGCCAAAGTGTTTAGTCAATGCATCATTGATTTGCTTCTTCGAGTACTTTTGAGTTAATGATGGTACAATCCCTTCGGCCGCTAAAAAGTCAAACGTAGGTAATTTCTCGTAAAGATTCATAGTTATATTGTAGAAATCATACACGTTTTTGTTTTCTATGTAGCCTTGAGGGTCATAACAAGTAGGCCTGATTGTTTTCACACACGTAGCATGCTTATTAAATTCGTGGATCCATAAAGATTCATCGTTGCCGTTGAAATTCTTCCAGAATTCAGACATCTTCCCATACAAAACCTTGTCATTGAATTGGTTCAACACTATGTCAGTGGCACTGCGGATGTTCAAGCTATCGTCGCAAAATTGTTCATACGTTCCATCACAGTTATCGGGCCATAATCCGTGCAAAGTGAATGATTCGTTGCCTCCGATTGGAGGATAATAATCCCAGAATTGAGTCAGCAATAAAATACCCCCCGGTGATTCGAAACAACACGAATTTTCTATAGGGGTCGAGTTGGTGCAAGTTAAAGGAATATCTATTGGGCAATTTGGTGCTCCAAAAATGACACTATCAGATTCAAAATTAATATAGGAACACAAACTCTCTCGGAGAAATAACGAAATGGTAACAGTAAATATTAGCGCCAACATTGCTGATAATTGCTAACTACCGATAAATTCTAAAAGTTTGCTACTAAAAATCCTGGATTCTTATCTGTGTTTATATATGATTAGAATCCATGTGGGTAGATAACAGATAATCAGTATTTGGTTATTGAACGACATCAATGATGAAATGGACCGTTTGTCAACGATCGGGACATTGTTAACAAACACCTATTTCAGTCGAAATATACTGCAGCTACAGAGTGATTTTATTACCATCCGTTGAGGATACCTTTATTAGTATATAATTATATAAATCTACCTTTATCATTTTCTAACAATACAAAAAAAAAAGTCATGAACATAAAAAACCCAATCATTTAGAGAATAAAAACCATACTGAATGTTGCGTCCAAGGAGAACAACACTCGGCATACCTTATCATAAACCATATCATTAAATGCAGTTGATGCAATTAAAATTAAAATACATGTGAAACCAAGAACAAAAATAGAATTTTAAACGGAATTGTAGGTCCTAAGCAGTACTTAGGAAACCATCAAAATCGGTTAAATCTGGACAAAAATGATGATTACAGGCAGATTTCGTAGCGAGATTGAAACCAATCTAGTACTTGTAAATATCAGCCTTGAATGGACCTTCCTTTGGAATACCTAAGTATTCAGCTTGAACATCAGATAAGACGGTCAACTTAGCACCTAAGTGGTCCAAGTGACACTTAGCAACAGTTTCATCCAAAACCTTTGGTAATAAGTGAACACCAAGGTCAAACTTGTCTGACTTACCGAATTCTGGGAATTTGGTTCTGAATTCTTTGTCTTCAGCCTTGAATAAGGCAATTTGGGCCAAGACTTGGTTAGAGAAAGAACAAGACATGACGAAAGAAGAGTGACCGGTAGCACAACCTAAGTTAACTAATCTACCTTCAGCTAATAAGATAACGTGACGACCGTTCTTCATCAAGAATCTGTCGACTTGTGGCTTAATTTCAACAACAGATTCAGAGTTGGCCTTTAACCAAGCGACATCGATTTCAATGTCAAAGTGACCAATGTTACAGACAATAGCATCTTCTGGCATTTGTTCGAAGTGAACACCAGTGATAATGTCACGACAACCAGTAGTGGTGACGAAGATTTGACCAATTGAAGCAACTTCTTCTAATGGAGCAACTTGGTAACCAGAAACAGCAGCTTGTAAGGCGTTAATTGGATCAATTTCAGTGACAATAACTCTGGCACCCATACCTCTTAAAGCCATGGCACAACCCTTACCAACATCACCGAAACCAGCGACAACGGCAACCTTACCGGCAATCATAACATCGGTGGCTCTCTTAATACCATCGATTAAAGATTCACGACAACCGTATAAGTTATCGAACTTAGACTTGGTGACGGAATCGTTAACGTTGATAGCTGGGACCTTTAAGGTACCTTCCTTCAACATCTTGTATAAGTGGTGGACACCGGTGGTGGTTTCTTCAGATAAACCGTAACAGCCATCTAACATTTCTGGGTACTTCTTGTGGACTAAAGTGGTTAAGTCTCCACCATCATCCAAGATCAAGTTCAATTTCTTACCATCCTTGAAAGCGAATAATTGTTGTTCAATACACCATTCGTATTCTTCGTCGGTTTCACCCTTCCAAGCGAAAACTGGAACACCAGCAGCAGCAATAGCAGCAGCAGCGTGGTCTTGGGTAGAGAAAATGTTACATGATGACCAGGTAACTTCAGCACCTAAAGCAACTAAGGTTTCAATCAAAACAGCGGTTTGAATGGTCATGTGTAAACAACCAGCAATTCTAGCACCCTTTAATGGTTGAGATGAACCGTATTTCTTTCTGATATCCATTAAACCTGGCATTTCATTTTCAGATAATTCAATATCTTTTCTACCGAAGGCAGCTAAGGAGATATCGGCAACTTTGTAGTTAGAAGCTGGAGCAGACATTATTAACAATCAATTGAGTTTTGTTTGTATTAATTCAATATTAATTTGTAAAAATCAAAGTTAGTTGAAAAGAAAAATGAACACGAAAACGTGAAAGTATTTATACGTTTCTTATACGACGAGATGGAAAATTTTTTTGGTGAGGCCCAAAAAAAAGCACATGCAAATTTTCACCAGATGGTACAGTATCAGATCTATAGTAAATAGTAGTTACAAAATTATAGTGATTGGAAACAGAGAATTAATGTAGATGTAAATGTAAGGTATTATGCATTGATAAGTACGCAGTAGAAATGAAATATATAATTATGGACCTAAAGATCAAACTTTAACCAATCCAAGTCTTTAGCCACGTTGGCCTGATGATCAGGTTGCGAAAGAATAGGAGATTGGCGATCAGATTGGGGTTGCTTTTTCAACCCATCAGTCAATGATGACTTGATGAATGCTGCAGGTTTGATTTCGTATCGACTACCCATCTTTTCGTTGTTTATGTCAAAATCATAAACTTCATTATCATTATTATGCAACTCAGTATAGTTTTTGAAAAAGTCGTCTGTATCCATGTCATCATTTTCTGGAATGGTTGTAGACGGCAAGGACTCAGGCACAAACTCGGTGGGAGTTTTCACGGTAGTGAAGTTGGCAAATTCTGACGGCACAGTGAATGATTGACGATTAGAGTGCAAATGGGTGCTGGAGAAAGAAGATTGTGACGCAACAGACCCAGGTGTTTCAGCGAGCCCGGAGTTACTGTTTCTGTGAGGAAACGACGAATTGTCAAAATAACCCCCGTTGTTGTACTGGTTGAAACGCAGATTTAAAATGTTGATATTAGAAGGCGTTAAAGAATTCGAGCCTGTGAAACTAGAAGAATTAAAATTTTGGGCAGGACTGTCGTTCTGGTTCTGGATTTGATTTTGGTTACCGTTGATATTAATGTTACTCAAAGAATTGCTTAATCCAATAGATGAATTTTTTCTTTGAAGTGACGACAAACTCGTAAATGAGGTCCGTTTATTGAATGAAGATGATTGAAACGAAGATGAAACGGAAGGGTTCCGTTTGATTGTTTGATTCGATTGGGGCACTTGCGAGGGTGTCTTTTTAGATAAAGATTCACTATTTGCTGAAAATTGTTCATTACCATTTTCAGCCTTTTTCCTCTTAAATGACTGTGCTTGGTTATTATTATTGTTGTTGTTATTGTTGTTGTTATTGTTGTTGTTATTGTTGTTAAACAGACCACTAAATGAGTTGTGTATAATTGGTGATGCAGGGCTATTCAAATTATCATTATTCAAGAATGTGCTGTTGGGCGTTGGAATCGATTTAGCACCCAAACTGGTTTGGTTCGATGAAGTGTTAGGCGTGTTTGGGGTGTTTGGTGCTAATGATGGCTTTGGTAATATTAATATGTTCTTATAACGAGAGCCGCTGCTACCAATCGGAATCCCACCCGAAGTCGATAAGATGCCGTTGTTTGCTGATGAAGGAGTAGAATTTGCAGATGTGGAACCATTGTTCTGTTGTGAATTAATCGGTATATTAAACCCATTCTTGATGTTTCTATTGCCCGATAATTGATCTTGAGTTATATTTTGCCTTGACAAGCTATTAGAATATGTAGAATTTGGGGTCATACCTTTATTTGTAGCTGGAGATCTTCTGGAACTCCTCTTCTTGATAACATCTGTCTTTAAACTTAATGGCCTTGTCGTCCCGTGTAACTTGAGAAACAACCCACACGCATTACACAAAGTGTTACCTTGTGGATCTTTCCTCCATAATGGGGTTTTCAATGCATGGCAGTTAGAACATTCAGTTACTTTTATATCATCCTTGCCAGAACTTGCATTGACTAGAGGTCTGAACTTTTCTTCTTGCTTTTGTTGTGATAAGGAGGATGTAAGGTTTGATTTGGGCATCGGCTTTTGCATCGGCAATTTATTCATAGGGTCATTGGTATTCTCTGAATTAGATTCCAACGGTAAAGTTGAAGACGAAATTTGAACATTAGAAACCGACATGGTTGGTTCCTTTTTAATGGTAGTAGGACCCTTATTATTCGACCAGGGTGTAGCTTTCACGTCTGTATGCCCATTATATGGCGAATCACTAATACTAGATGGTGTAATATCACTCTGCATATTACCGTTTCCTCTTCTTCCTTCGGATCCAGTGATACTGCCATTTCGGTTTTCATTGGTTCGGACCTGTTTTTGTCCGTATTGAGGGCTGTTCTTCAAGTCATCTATCGATAACGGCGACAACAAGTCAAGATACTTGTTCTCATTATTGTTGTGGTCGTTACGGCCAGACATTATTTGGTTTTTCTGTACGTTATAACTATCCTTGCGTAACTGTCTGTTCTCAACTCTAGTTTGCAACGAAAGCAATTTTTTAGCTGAATTAAATAGTTCAAATATCGATGGGGCAGTATCTAACTCACGCTCTATCTTTGACATGCTTCACTTAATTTCAGCCCACTATTGCTTATTTATGACTCTATGCTTCTTGCTGGTGACTAATTTAACTAATTAATTCTCAACTTTAAAGAAATCACAATAATCGGAAACACAACTATTAAAACCAACGATTTATAGATATTCTATTAACACTTTTACAGCTATCAATACTTAGACAAACTTTCTGCTGGTCTGATATTGGCAAAATTTTCTACCTTTTTTTAAATAAATTAAATTATTTGTGATGATAATTTTTGATGTTCATAATTACACAAAATTATCTTCCATCGATAAAATCCGATTTACAAGAAATCATCTGATTCGGATAATGCCGACCAGAGGGGAGCGTATAGAAGTATAGAAGAGGAACATGTCGCTACAGTAAAGAACATGTTATTACAATTATAATACAGGTTGATGTATATTTATATATATATATACAGGAGGCAGATATTGATTTCAATTATCTGAATCGTTCTTAGAGTGATTATGATGATGGTTATGGTATGGCTTGTTAAAACGACGGTTATACTTCCCTTCACCACCGTTGTTTATAATAGAAGGGTTGTTGTTATCCGAATGGAGTCTGTATTCAAAAGAAACTCCAAATACTCTTTCGTTCGATCCCGAATCTAAAGTGCTAATACAGTCAGAACCTTGGGAAATTAAATCACATTCTCTGATAATTCTCAAAATCGAATCACAGATTATTCTTCTGGCTTGAAATGATGTCAATTTCTTGTTTTGAGCTTTCTTCTCTTCATCTTTTTCTTCAGGGTTGACTCTCTTTTTATTGAAGTTCAAGTTACAATTCCAAATGCTGATGATATCTTCATCTTTTCTAACACTCAAAACTAACCCGCAGATATCATTCAAGAGTAAATCTTGAATCTCTTCCGAGTAATTACCTTCTGGGATAATTGATCCAGTAATAGTCTTCATTAATAATCTTTCCCAAATCAAGCTTGTTCTCTGCCTAACTTTCAAGACCGTATCATTGTCATTTATGTTAGACGAATTACTACTAGTATTAGAGCGGCGATTGAACCTAAACACCCATCTACCACCTTTGGTATTTATAGGGTCCTCCCACACAGGATTGATCCCGCTTTTAAAGATCAACAACTCTGTACCAATAGCTAATTCATACGTCTTTTTGAGTGAAGACATACTCATCCATAATTGCTCTAAGGATCCAATATGCTTGGTTGACGATTTTTGTCCGTTGATGGTTGAAAATTCGATCTCGTTCGTTGTTTGTAAGTACGAATCGACAGCAGCTGCTGCCTGTTGTCCGCTGTCGTCATTATTAGCATCCTCGGTCGTTGGCTCAGGGCTGACGTTTGTTAGCTCCTTCTGCTTCGGCCTAGATCTCGAATGGTGCCATATTGTCCAACAGTATGGCAAAATATGATGATTTTCTGGAATATCATCGACGGTTTCCTGCGATAATTTCAATGGATCTCTTTTCGGCAAGTCGATGTTGGCAGGCTGGTTGTATTGTCCATTAAAATTGTTATAATTAGATGCTTTATTATATTTGTATGATTTATGATGACTATGACTATGGTGATTATTCTGTGATTGCGAATGATTATTCTGGCCACTGGCATTATGACTACTGCTATTATTATGACTGGAGTTATTACTATGATTATAATTCACGTTCGTAATATTCTTGCTAGAAGAACTATTACTGTCGGTTCTACCGCTCATTCCATTTTGGTTCATGATTCTATTAAACAATGATTCGGCCCTCTTCAAGTTTTCTGACATAGTTATTTATGGTGTATAATGCAATGAATAATTGTTACCCTAAAAAATTAAATATAACGATCAATATTGGACCACAAACTTAATGATAATAACACACGTTAATTAACAAATCTATAAATGCTATAATAATAAGTATTTTACAAGCTATACTTATTCTAGTTCAGTTAATAACGCCAGAAAAATATTACAAATTTTTCATCACACAAAATAACGGGAGATTTAATGTGCGGGTAACCTTGACCATAACTACCCATAGATACATATTCTATAACAATTAAGTATATTAATCATAAACATAGACGCTAATAGGCTAACTAAGACTTACCGTAGTAGTGTAAGTATCCACCTAAGGTTTTACAACCATTAATGTAGTTACTGAGATTCAATTTTTCGTTAATTGAATGAGCACCATCATCACCTCTACCCATTGGTAACAATAAAACATCAGTACCTAACTCCTTTTCAAAGGTGATAGTGATTGGAATGGATCCACCTTCTCTGGTGAAATCAGGCTTGATGTTCCATACATCTTCTGTGGCCTTGGCAGCAGCAGTGAAAGCTTCATTGAAAGGATTTGAAACCCAGTAGTTACCATCGTGGATTAATTCGACCTTCAAAGTGTTTGGGGAGTTTAATTGAGCATTCAACTTGTTAACATGGTCAAAAACCAATTGATCTAATTTCGCAGAATCGATGTCTGGAACGGTTCTGATAGAAAATTTACCGATAACCTTGGCTGGGATGACGGTTTTGGCACCAGCACCTGAGAAGCCACCTTCGATACCGTGTAAAGACAAGGATGGGTATCTCCATCTGTGCTTTAAGATATCCTTCTTGTTATCGTGCAAGGAAGTCTTGGAACCGGAAGCAGCGTTTAATTCTTCTACCGAAAAATCGATGTCATCGTATAATGCGTCTTCTTTGTCGGTCAATGGAGCAATCATATCGTCAATTCCTGGAATCAAAATCTTTCCTGTAGAATCAACCAATTGAGACATGACCTTGATTAAATCAGTCATAGGTTCTGCAACTATACCACCGAAAATACCACTATGTAAATCAGCGCCTGGCCCGTTAACAATAATCTGGTAGTAATTACATCCTCTTAACCCGTAAGTTAAAACTGGCTTGCTAGTACCTAACCAGTAGTTATCAGAGATACATACAGTGTCAACCTTGGAGAAATATTGTTTGGCTTCCTTTGCAATTAACCCTTCCAAACCTAATGAACCACTTTCTTCCATACCTTCGAAACAAACAACTAAGTTAACTGGTAATTCCCATTTTAATTCGTTGTGCGCTTCAATCACATTCAACCACCCGATAACTGGTCCCTTATCATCAGTAGTACCTCTTCCGAACAAGATGTCCTTAGCTTCATCATGGTACATGTCAAAAGGATCAGTGGCCCAACCGTCTTCTTTTAATGCTGGTTGAACATCATAATGGCCGTAAACTAATACTGTCTTCTTGGATGCATCATTGCCAAATCTACCTAAGACAATTGGAGGTAACTTTAAGTTTGGATCAGCGACTGGTGGTGGTTGGATACCCAAATCCTTCATTTGGATGTCGTGGAATCCTAACGTAGTTAATTCGTTCTTTAAAAAGTTTGCCATATCGACAACCCTTGGTCTTAACGTTTCATCACTTGAAACAGATGGAATTGCAATTGCCTTTCTTAATCTTTCAATAAATTTTGGCTTTAATTCATCAATCTTCTTGAACAATGGTTCTAATGGTAATTTATCGTATGACATCGTTAATATCTACTTTGTATAGCTAAATATCTGGATCAATTACTTTACTAAATATAAAATATGTCTTGAGGATATTTGAAAAAAAGTGAGGCAGCCGTTCATCTTTATGGCCGTGCAAAAATGCCGATTATAGCCGTACTATATAACTTCCGAAGTAAATTATGGGAGAACATCTCTACGGCTATTATATTCTATGGCATACATGGATATATATCTACATTATATGAGCTCATTTTTAACTTGTAGTATTAGGATATTGGTAATCAATTGAAAATAATTGGGTCGATCGCATCGTAGGAACGACTCAAAATTATTAATTGTACTTGTAATGCATCAATGATAGTCAATTAAGTAATGTCCTCAACAGATAGTGATAATGATAGTGATAGTGATGAATTCTCGATACTTGACATAATTGGAAGCCAGAAGAATACAAATACCAAAAATTACAGATCAAAAGCACGAGCCGATGAATCCAAAGACCTTCCAACAACAACATCCAATAAGAGTCATCATGGTAGTAATATAATTTCCCATGAACCAAGAGATGAATTTGATATAGAATTACCAACTATTTTTCTTACTGATGCTAAAAAGAACGAAGAATTGGCTAAAAAGAATGCTAGGATACGGGCTGATTTGGCTGAAGATGAGCGTAATATGCAACAGGAATATAAACGATTGCAACGAAGGAAGCAACAAATCATTGATGAACTAAACGATAATGGGGTAATTGGTCAAAACTTTATTTTGACTAATGACAGAGATAACCAGTTTGTTGAAAGATTGCTTCAAAGCGATTTGAAAGGTTCCAAAACCGATAACCTTACTCAACGGCATTTCTACTTATATTCAAATCCTTCAGTTGAAAATAACTTGGATACTGGAGTGCCTTTTCCCATAAATATTAGCACCCTTTACATTGAGCTTCGACCAGAAAACTACGAAAACTTATACCTGAATGTAAGTCCATTTTTTACCCAATTCTTCAACTATATAATCGTGAACGTTCATGACTTAAATTGCTTGATTCTATTCAGCAGATTTCTCGAATTTCTTTACAAATCAGACTTTATAAGTCTGGATAGCATAACGGAAAAAGAATTTGTGACTTATGTTAAATCCATTGGAGGTGAAACGAAGTATATCAAGCCCGACTCACATACCCAAATGCCTCTTAGACTACTCCATTATAATTCTCAATACAGACTCACTATTGTGAGGCTATCAATAGTATTTTGTTATGTTCTTTTTGTTACAAAAAATGACTGTACTGTGGCAGAAGACACCCTATACAAAACAATGTTAAAAACATTTTTACTATCGCTATGCGATTTTAATTTTAATGAAGGTAATGTAAACGAGTTAATTACCAACTTCATAACTCCAGTTTTTATGAATTTTGTTAATTGGAGAAGAGATAAGCTAATGAATGGCCAGCAACAAGTCAAACCCACCTCCGAAGAAGAAGTATATGTAATGCACGATATTTTATTATCAGAATTTAATGAAGCTATGAATCATGAATTGCGTACTTGCCTCTATGAAGAACGGGACAATATTGAAACAGAGCAACAAAAATTTAGGAAAATCGACTATGAGTTGCATCACAACATTTTAAGGTTACTAAATTTATCCATCAGGTTCCAAGCGGAACCCTTTTCCATGAGAATTATTATAAGCTTATGTTTAACATTTATGGACGATTCGGACTATACTCTTTGCAGCTTATACAAGCGAAATCCTACATTAGAAGAATTAAATATGAAGACTTGCAATTTCACACCTTCATCCAAATTCATTATATCGATCATAAATAAGTTGAACGCTTTAAACATAACCGAATGCCTTGATTCCAATGATATTGAGCAAATCAACTTTATATACAGAAATTATTACAAGCTGTTGTTATTCAACTATGTTGTATTTGAGACCTTCCATTCAAATCTGAATACTATACAAAACAGACAAAATTTCGAACGAATAAAGCAGTCTAATTATTTGAATCTCAAACAATTGGCCGATAGCATTAATAAATTAAAAGACAGTGTTCATAGGCAATTAGGTGAATTATCCAATATTTCACTGATAGGTGAATCGTCACCGTATAAAGATGATGTCATACATATAATCACTGAGTATTATCATTTGTTGCACTATCTCGCTACTAAATGTGACAAAGAAATGATGCTAATTCACAATGATACATTCTACGACGACAAGATTCTCCAATAGGTAAGTATATAGAATATTTATAATATTTCATAGCATTGTGTAATGGTGACTCAAAAGTTCAGCTTTATGCACCACGCGGGACATTTAGTCTCTGGCAAATACCGATCTTCCGTAAATTTAGAGCAAATAAGTCATAACTATTATTATTCATACAGAAGTTACTATACCTCCAAAGAAACAAATTCAATGACATTAGCAGAAGAATCGAAGCCATTTATTTTCAAGAATCCAGAAATCAAAGAAAACGAACATCCGGGATGTATTGTTCAATTACCGTATGGATTTGGCCCTCTTCCTCCACAAGCTAAGAATAAGAAGATTTTCTATTTCGATATCGACAACTGCTTGTATAACAGATCGACTAGAATTCATGATATGATGGAGGTCAAGATACATAAATATTTTAAAGACAACTTGCAATTAAATGATGAAGATGCTCATAATTTACATCTCAACTATTATAAAACATACGGATTGGCTATTGAAGGGCTAGTGCGTAATCATGAGGTAAATGCAATGGAATATAATGCAGTGGTCGATGATTCCTTGGATTTGAAGTCAGTATTAAAATATAATAAGAGGTTGAGAGAGCTGTTGCAGCATATTAAGGAAAGTAATGATTTTGATTACTTTTGGTTGGTGACCAATGCCTACAAGAATCATGCCTTACGGGTCATTTCATTTCTAGGGTTGGGTGATATTTTTGATGGTTTAACCTTCTGTGACTATGCATCTTGTCCAATCCTCTGTAAACCAATGAATGAATACTTTTACAACTGCTTTAATCTAACGCAGGTAGACTACAATGATCAACATGTGATGTCTTACCAATACTTTGTCGATGATAGTGAGATAAATGTAAAAGCTGCTCATAAACTACACCTTGGTAATGTTATTCATTTCATTGAGCTTGACGCAGATTACGAAAAAATTAAATCGAAGCCTGATTTCTTCGAATATTACGGTAAAGGTGATAACACTGACTCCTCAAAGATTAGAATTATAAGAGATATTTTAGACTTAAATAAAGTTTTATAGTAACAAAAATGTATCAGTTTGTTGAATTTTGGTTAGAAGAATTTATAAATTTGTAATCTCGTTATCGAGAAGCTCGATGCCAAAAAAAGTTAAGAGTCAAAAAAAAAGCACGATAAGACTAGCACCTTCAACTTCGTCTAATAAATGCCACCTAAAAAAGAAATCAAATTCAAGGGAAAGATCTTGTTTTTACATGGCTATACTCAATCTTCCTCGATTTTCTACGCTAAAACATCTGCTTTAAGGAAGAAACTATTGAAGCTAAACTACAAATCTATCTACTTAAATGGGCCAACTAAGTTAACCCCGGCTGATTTACCATCGACTGACTCGCTCTCTAAGTTCAGTTCGGTTATATCAGATGATCAAGAGACCGACTATAGATCGTGGTGGATAAAACCACACAATACTAATGATGGTATCGACCTATCCGAACCTATTACCGAAATCAAAAACTATATAGAGAAGGGTGAAATTATACCAGATAATGATTTAGTTCAAGAAACGGAGTCTGAAGAAGAAAAGCAACTTCCTATAGTTGGTATAATTGGTTTTTCGCAGGGGGCTGCGTTTGCTGGTTTGATAAGTCATAAATTTAAGGACTTATTTGGTGTTGATACTTTAAAATTTGTGATTTTATACTCAGGGTTTAAAATTGATACAACCGAAAAGTCTGGTAATACACAATATAAAGATTATTATCCAGCCGATAATGGAGAGTCGGATCAATTTAAAATACTTCATGTTTATGGAGAATTAGACACAGTTGTGCATGAAGACCGGGTACTTTCGTTGTATGAAACAAGCAAGGCCAACTCGGATATTCTAAAGCATCCAGGAGGTCATTTTGTACCTAACTCGAAGTTAATGGTGGATCAAGCGACTAACTGGATAGTTCATACGATAGAAAATAAACAAGACATTTCAAAACCTGAAGATGATTTAGATTCACTCATGGATATGATAGATGGTCTAGGAAAAGCTTAGACATTAGACTATTTAGATATATATAAAATATTATAATTCATCATGGACTACTTTCTTGGCCTTTTTACCTTTTCTATAATTGGAGTAGTACTTTTTGTCTTTTTTCGATAATATGCCTTCTAAAGGTTGAATATTGTTAGATTCTATTAACCATTCACTAATTTTCACCTTGTCGCTAAGCTTTTCGGATTTATACTTAGAAAACTCCTGGGTAGTCTCATCAAAATTAAGCAAGATTGGTAATCTATCGTCTGGGCCGATGGGTGAAATGATTTCTTTACCATTTATTTCAATTTTAAAATTATTTACATCTTCGGGTGATTTGACAGTAACCATTCCGAATTTCAATGTATTAATGAAATCAATAGCCAAAGATTTGTATAAGGGACTAATTTGTTTTGATTCTGTTAAAAGCAAAACCTTATTATTTTCTTTATTATCCAACAACCAATCCTTTAACCCCTCTGATTGCAAGTTTGGAAATTTCTTAACATAATTCTTGATTCTAGACGTCAAGAATGTATACATTGATTTCAACGATCTTTCTCCATTATACGGCTCAACTGCATGGCTATATACTCTACTCTTCTTCTTTGAGTCGTACTTTGGTGGTCTAAATACCATTAACGTAGGAAAGCCGCTGATTTTATACCTGGCACAAAGTTCTTTATTTTTATCTTCATCACAATTGACACTAGCAACGTTTATAGCATATTGACCGTCGTTATGTATCAACTTAGCCAATTTATGATAAGCAGGTTCTAGTTGTTTACAATAACCACACCATGGAGCGTAAAATTTGACTATGGACGTATAATTTGTCTTTTGAACAACTTTATCAAAATTAGATGGTGATAACTCATATATATTATCATCTGATTTATATAAATCCCCTTGCGCTCTTGCAGCTATGGATACTACCAAATGGACAAGTATTAAACAAAATTTCCATAAATACATTCTTCTAGGTTTCTTATCTTTAAAGCTCTATGTTCTATTTTTTGATTTCTGGAGAACAACTCATTGATTTTTCAGGCCATACAGCGAGTTTCGGGAGTAAAATAAAATTTTAGAATCAATTGAACTACTGCTACATAACTACTTTATTTTGATATAAAATTCATCTTAATGAATATTTAATGTTTATTAGGATAGATCGTTGTAGTCGTAAAAAGATTATATGTTTTTCGTGTAGATGGTAGTCCAAAGACACGTATAGTATAGCCACTGAAATTTTTTTTTTATCAAATCCTTATACTTATATCATTTATTGTTTAAAGGAGACAAACTAACTAGTATACACGTTTTTTCTCTATCTTCATCGATCATTGCAAGTTTGTTTTTATATGTTTTCCCTGGCTATTGCTAGTTATCGCCTAGCTCATTCACTCAATCACCTTTATTCAACTATCTCTACTCAATTGATCCCTGCTCGTTGTGATATCTCCATTTATCCATAATTCTAACCATTAGAAAGCAACTTTCAAACATATACGCCAAAACTGTTGGCAACAAATACAGAGCCTAAACCAATTGATAATGATGCTAAAATTGCATGAAAAAAGTAGTTGAAAGGCGACTGTGATTTCTTATCCACTAATAATGCCAATGACAATGAAAAGAAGGCTAAAAGCGTATTAGTATTTAATTATAGCTATTGTATTTTTGCATTTAATTTCCAATTACGTACCGATTATAACTAAAATCACCGCAAATAAAGTAGAATATTGACTCAAAGTGCTTGCGGCAACTGGACTAGACTCAAAGTTAAAGATCCTAGTGTACTCTTCGTATGATACACCAAATGACATTGTTTAGAAGAAGTTATAAGTGATATTGGCGTATAATAGAAATAGATACATATTAATATGCTGTTCATATGGACCAATGAATATTGGTCCTTGCACGATTTTATATATTTACCTCTATACAAGCTTTAATAGCTGTCTATTCTTATAGTCTATTCCCATGTATTGAATCCTTCTGGACATTTACTCCATTAGAGGCATTGTAGAACTGGGAAAAGAAGTATGCTTGGTCTATGAGAACCTTCTCTTTAGCATATTTAACTTCAGGAATGCTGAGGTCACCCTTAACTGCAAAACCATGAGATACACTCAGGAATAAATCAAGTTGGTATCTAATGTTTTCAGCAGCTAAAATTTGAATAGTTTTATTTCTCAACTCTTCTGTGAAGCTTTTATCGGTTTCTGCAGCAGAAATCAATACAGGTTTAGTAACAGCTTCAACTTCTTCGACCGAAACCAAAGAAGGATGTGCAATTGCACCCGCTGTAAAGTATCCATCCTTGGCCAAATTTTGAATACAGTATTTAGCACCAAAACAGTAACCAATACCAAAAAAGGATTTAGGTGACTTTTCCTTAGTTAATTGGGCCAAGAAACTGTCAACAATTGGTCTTGTGATTTCAGAGGAATGTTTTTCGAGCCATTGATGGCGTTCATCTGATGGTTTAATTGGATCACCCATCAAAATATCAGGGATTAATACTTGACGAGAGCTT